CTGCAAATGTTGGGTAATATCAGGATATGATGTTCATTCAAAGATACAGTCATTGCGAAATTACCTTCGAAAATGTAGGATTCTTGCAGTAACGGCAGCTACAAGCAATTGCCTTTACTCTTTTCATTTTATAATACTCTGAACCCTTAATTTCTTCAGGTAGTCATTTCGTGGGCTGAGCATATTAAAGTAATATTAAACGCTGCATGAGAGCGTACAGAGCGTCTAATAACTCAATTCTGCAAAAATCTCAGATTCCATATATTCTAACGGCAATGAATCTCACTGGCGGAGCTATCAGGCTGTTTGCTTCTCCGTGGAGTGCTCCAGGATGGATGAAAACAAATGGGAGGATGAAGGTAAGTGAAGGGTGGTTGTCAACAGCTTGTTGGAAATTGAGATGAATAATCGAGAATTAAAAAAGTGACTTTTTCTTTAGAAATTTTGTGATGCAAACTAATGAGTTGCTTGAACTCGTCATCATACCTTTCCTGAAACATTTTGAGTAAAATTTAGGGTGGAGGGATGCTGAAAGGCGCAGTTAATGGCGAGTACTATCAATCCTATGCCATCTATCTAACAAAGTAAATTGATACATGGGCATTGCCCCACTTTTCCCAGAGTTTTCTGTTTATTCCAGATTTTTCGAAGAGTATGCAAAGAATGGTGTGCCATTTTGGGGCATGACACTACAGAATGAGCCATCTTCAGGCATGTTACCGTTCTATGGTTGGCAAACAATGCTATTCACTGCAGATATGGAAAGGTTAGTTGAGTGGGTGAATTCATCTGGACCCTAACAGTTTTTATGCATTTCAGGGATTTCGCCAAAGGCATTCTTGGCCCAATGTTTAAAAGCAACAAGGCGACGAAAGATCTCAAAGTAATGGCGCTGGACGATAACCGGCTGTGGTTACCTAGGTGGGCGGACAATGTAAGTTAAGGTTATGGTTAGAGAGACTGACCTCATAGGTTTAGAACAGACTGCACGAGTCTTTATAAATTGCATAAATAAATTTCAAAAAAAGTCAACAGTGAACTCTTGAAGGAAAGGTAAGGTCATACGTGTATTGATGTAGAAGCTTTCCATAAAACTTGGAATGTTCTAAACTCATTTCTACCGCGTAATCTTGTTCAACTACATCATGCACCATACGAGAACTAGTCCCCAGCATGATTCTTCATGTTCTAGATATTCAATGATCCTGAGGCCACAAAATATGTTGATGGCATCGGAGTACACTGGTATATGAATGCTCTCGTGCCAGCTACAGTACTCACTACTACCTACAATAGGCATCCGGACAAATTTTTGCTCGCTACGGAGGCAAATTTCCGTTTCCTTTTATTTTTGTAGTCTGGCCACTTTAAATGAAATAATCCTTTTTAGGCTTGTACAGGATCCATGGGTATCCATGGTCCTATCTTGGGAGATTGGTATAGAGCTGAAGAGTATGCTGAGGATATCATAACGGTAAATCATTGAGCTTACATTATCTACTGTGGTAAAGTTGTAAAGTTGTTAAATAACGTGGGAAATTTTTCGAATTTTTTGGTCAATTTTGTTGCAGAATTTGAACAATTTTGTCTCTGGTTGGGTTGATTGGAACATGTGGTTGAACGAAAGAGGTGGTCCTACCTGGGTTAACAACTTTGTTGACTCTCCTATCATTGTCAATGCAACAACCGATGAATTCTATAAGCAACCAATGTTCTATGCAATAGGACATTTCAGGTAAAGTCAATTTCACGAGTTTTTTTAAAATTTTAAAGATGGTCCCACCTGGCATCATGTTCGTTGGAACTTTAAGTAAAAGGCCTAATCTTTGTACCACAGAAATCATAAATTTTGTAGAAAAAAGTCAATTGAACCAGAATCTGTTTGGCTGAATAGCTATGTTTGGTACTTTTGGTCCATCTCGCTATATCCTGTCCTCCTCCATCCTTCGATCTCCTGATTTCGTTTGGGATTGACAGACGCCGGAAGGGGAAGGGACGAGTTTTTCAGAGTTTAAAACCCGCTTGACATATGTACTGGAGGATGCTTAGGTCGCTGATTTCGTAGAAAGCTTTAATAACTGTAAAACTTCAAAATATAGGAGTTCTTCATCTGCTGAATAAGGCATGCAGCCATGTAAAAACTGTGCAAAAGTCTGTTTTTAGCTAGAATAGCCGCATACCCAATTTCAGTGACGTCTTTGGCTCTGTACTTGAATGAACGCTTGCATTATTCAGTTTATTGTTTATAGCTAAATTGATTTTTGATGTAATTACGCAGATTTTTTTTACACAAAATCTTGTGAGAGCAGAAATCCACAACTTCCTTCAATGAAAAGTTCCACAAATAAAATGTAAGCTCCGCATCATTGTCCAAAAGCCAACTTTTGGTTTATAACGTAAAGTAAGAGGCCGGTGGACTTATGTCTGTTCCGTTATAGTCACAATCCTATTCCCAATTCAAAGTTTGCTGAGAATTCTAAATGCTCATAACTCCCCCTTATAGTGAGATAATGTGAAATATGT